CCTCGCGAATGGGCGACGACCGACACGGACCATGACCAAGCTCGGCATGGGCAATATCCCGAGACACCTTGGTCATGGCCCCCAGGCCTCTCCCCCTCGCGATCGCTCTGACGCCCATGCCGTGTGCATGTCTCGGTTTCGTGCGTGCATGTTTCGCGCGATGCTCCAAGATGCTCCTCCTACGTCCTCGCCTCATGTTGCTCCCATCGTGCTTAAGGACCACATCCCAGGAATCATGTTGAGCACCCGGAAAGGTGCCGAAAGAGTGTCCGAAGCGTGTCTCCCAGGGCCCGGCACGTGACAACCCTTGAGTTTTGGGGTGCCTTTTTCTGGCGCTCGAAACACATATTCTGGTGATCGGGGCCAAAGTAGGTCTGAGCACTATAACCCTCGCCGAGAGCAGGTGCACGCGCCCGAGCGATGCCGAGCCCCTCGAGGCGGGGGCGGCGCCTGCACCCGCAGGCACCAGTCGGCCCAGTCGCCGCCGCGGCCCACCACCGCCCGGCAGCGCTCCTCTGGGAGGGGGGCGGCGGGCGGCAGGGAGCGGTCGAAGGGGCCCCCGGGACGCACAAATAAAAGCACACAAATATAACAGGATTCCCCACAGTTCCCAATCTTTTCGGGGTCTCTGTCTTCCACCCCACTTCCCAGATTTTCCCCCATATGTTCTGGGGAGTCGACGATGAATTGTGTCTGTGTGTTTTTCCCCTCTTGAGAGGTGTCCCCAAGCGTTGGACGAGGTCGGGCGTTGCCTAAGACGGGGGAAGCGATAAATAGAGCGGGGGGGCCGGGAGAGCTCTAGGGGGCCTATCTAGGGTCCCCAGTGTGCACGAGAGGTGCACCCCCCCCCCCGCACTCATCGGGGAGAGCTCTAGGGGGCCTATCTAAGGTCCCCAGTGTGCACGAGAGGTGCGCCCTTCTGCACCCCCCCCCGCACTCATCGCCCCTCCATTGCGCAACGCCCGACCATCGTCCTGCAGCGCTCCTCTGGGGGTAGGGGTCCGCGGGGAGCGGTGCCCCCTGAGGAGACGGCGCATCTCCGGGAGTTCCATCGCTCCGCCATCCTGCGAGGGGCTTGATGTCTATAAACCGCATAGTTTGGTCGGCCAAGGGTCAAGGAACTCGGCGTAGGGTATGCACGCCCCAACTGCCCAGCCTGTGGCACGCTGGAGCGCCTGTACACCGGATTCCTCCGACGAGTTTGACTGGCTCACTGCCCGACCAAACGACGTGGTACATCCATCAAACCCATCCGCCATCCGCATCCGAATTCGGCGCCCGAGTCCTTGCCAGATCAACGCCGAAACCGCGTCGAACAGAAAGGGAAAAGGCCACAGCCGGCAAGATAGACAGAGCCCCCCCCCGAAATTCGGCGTGCAAGCATCGCGCTAACTTTCGGGACGCGGAATACGGAAGGGTGGGACTTTGACTGGCCACGGCGAGCTTCGGCCACGAAAACGTTCTCCGAGCTAGATCTAAGAAACGGCCCGCATAAACTATTCGGTGTAAGGGCGGCGAGTGCTCGACGAGCAGCTGGCTCAGGCGTGGGGCAGGACGGCGCCCGAGACTGCACCTCGCAGGTCTTGAGAGCTACGCGAGTCCTTCTCTTCCAACTTGCCCGAGGGTCCTCCGCAAGCAGCCCCTGGGGGTTCTTCCTAGAGGGACGAGGAGGAAGAGAAGCAAATGTGCTGAGGAGGAGCATCTTTATGCTCCTTCATGTACGCCGATCAAGCCAGCTGCGGAATGGACCGAGTGAGGACACCGAGGTCCCTGAGTCCGACGACAACCTCCTTCTGCCCTGCGCAGCGAAGCGAGACCCACCGCCACAATCACACCAACACCCACTCTCACACCAACGCTCACGCATACGCCCAGCCCACGCCCGCGCCCAATCCCAGCCTCACGCCCACGCCCACGCCCACGCTCACGCCCAAGCCCACGCCCACGCCCACGCCCACGCCCGCGACCACGTCCGCGCCCGCGCCCGCGACCACGCCCGCGCCCGCGCCTGCGCCCGCGCCCGCGGTTATGGCATGCCCGAGCCCACGGCAAGCTGGGGGGGACGGGAGCGAAGAGGGGACTCCGGAAACGCGGGCGGGGTCGGGGTCGGAGCGGGCGAGGAGGCAAACGGCGAGGGCCGTGAGAAGGAGCAGGAGGGACGGAAAGGGAACGGGAGCGGACAGGATGATCACAGCCAGGAGGAAGGATGAATTGCCTGAGAACGACCACGACGATGAGGGAGAAACGGGGGAGCAGGATGAGACGGAAAAGGCGAATGAGGACGAGGGGGAGGAGGAGGAGGAGGAGGAGGAGGAGCAGGAAGAGGGCAGGGGGGCAAGACAGGAGGAGGAGGAGGAAGAGGAGGAGGAGAAGGACGAGGAAACGGAGGGGAAGGCGAGGAAGTTAATGGGGACGCGGGGCACGCTGGCGACACGAGAAGCATAAACTTCTCCAGCGACGCGCCAGCGAGACGTGTGTATGACTTGGACCGCCTGTGTCTACACCGTCCGGATGACCATCTCATGCTGACGATCGTCGCGCAGCAAACCTTTGCCGGGCACTGCTTTTCCCACGAAGTCCCCCAGCGAACAGTGGCCACAATGGAGTCGCCAAACATTGCTGGACGATCAGCGGGCTGAGCCCGCAGGCGGCTGCCTCGAAAAGCGCCTCCGAAGCTGACGAAGCCAGCGCCTAGGTCCACCAAAAAAATCACGTACGCTGCGATCCGAGCTGTTTAGTCAAACGTTATCTTCGCGCCGCCGAGCCGATCCCTGGAGAAGGGACAACTATCCGGCCCAGGCCGCGACGCGGGAATCGCGATCAACTTTGCGCCCCTTGGGGACCTGGATCTCGGACGACGCCGACTGTACGCGAGGCCTCGCCGTCGTCCCCTATCATCCTCGCCGCCGTCGTCAGCGTCGTCGTCGTCGTCGCCGCCGCCGCCGCCGTCGTCATCGTCGCTGCCGCCGCCGCCGCCGCCGTCGCCGTCGTCGTCGTCGTCGTCGTCGTCGTCGTCGTCGCCGCCGCCGCCGCCGCCGCCGTCGCCGACGTCGCCGCCGCCGCCGCCGTCGCCAGGGGCGGAAGGCCACGCCTCCAGCAGCTGCGCGGGCGAGTGGCGGCGCTCGCGGCGCGGCCCCGGCGCGGGGGGCGGCGCCCGCGGCGGGGGCGCGCCCCCGCGGGCGCCGAGGGCTCCTGCGGCGCCGAGGGGGCCTCCCCGCAAAGCCTGCCCCTCGGGGCCGCGCCCTCCCCGCGGGGCCTCCCCGCGGGGCCTCCCCGCGGGGCCCCCCCGCGGGGTCTCCCCCCCCGCGGGGCCTTCCCTCGGGGCCTCCCCTTGGCCCCCCCCCCGTAAGACGAAGCCAGGGCGTCGGGCGAGGGCAGATCGCGAATCTCTGAGATCCGGCGGCTCCGGAGGATGTCTCGAGCGCCGCTGCGGTCCAGCACGCCCCGAGTGCGCTCCGGAACGGATGTGTCCGCGTGCTCGAACGGATTCATCCCTGTCCTGGCCTCCCCCCCCCTCCCCTCGGCGTGCACGGGGCCGTCAAGGCCAGAACGCTCGAGTTCATGCGGGCCTGATTCGGTGCGGTGGCATCGCGCTTGTTGAGCTCAGACCAACCTGGTTCCATATGACACTCTGGCCATCGCTCGGACCTCCATTTCCTGTGATTTGTTCGGTTTCGTGCGTGGTTTTTTCGCCAAATGATCAAGGATGCTCCTCGATGGTCCTCGCCGAAGGAAAAATGCACACGTCCGAGCGATGCCAAGCACTGCGGCGAAGAGTCCTCGCGGTCACAGCTTCTGCTGCCCTTGCGGCTCGAACCTGCGTGCCCGTGGTCGGCCGGCCACCACGAGGGCACCGGTTGCAAAGCAACACGCCCCATCGTAGCCATCGCCATCGCCATCACCACGCAAACATCAAGGGCACGGGTACACAGAAAGGGGGTCGGGGACGTGATGGAGGGGGAACTTCGTGACGAGGCTCCCGCTGTTCCCACACAAGGCGCAGTACATGGTGCAGCCTGTTGTCGGGCAGTCTAGGTGCATGTGATGTGGCATATGGTTTTTGCAATTTGGCCAACGTGGTGCAAGTTTGGCCACTCGGTGAAATCCATGTGTTGCACATCTGTCGCCCCCTCTCCTGCTCCTCCTGTCCACGCCTCCCTATTTTCTCAGGTTCCCCTTTTTCCCTGGTCCTCCCCCCCCCGTTCCCCCCTCTCTGTCCAGCCCTCCCCTGCCTTGTTTCCCCCCCCCTCCCCCCTCCGTCGCTCTCTTTCCTCATTCTAAGAGGCTGTCGCCTCCTTCCTCCAGGAGTTTCCTTCGGTGGTGGGGCGGGGCAGGGGGGAGGACGAACGACGAACGACGAACGAACGACGACGACGAAAATAAAGATGTCCGAGCTCTAGAACACGCCTTGGGAGCGCTCTTGGGGCCATCTTGGAGGACGTCGATCAAAGAAACGGTGAATTGTTTTTAGCGCTGCCCCTTGGGGGCCCCAAAACTTGCCTCTGGGGCGCTCTTGGAGCGCTGTTGGAGCGCTCTCTGGCGCTCTTGGGGCCGTCTTCGAGCTCTCTTTTGCCTCTTGAGCCCTCTTGGGTCATCTTGGAGCCATCTTGAGGCCTCGGATGGCCATCGGAAGCGAAAAGGCGAGAAAACAAAAAACACTGATGTTCTCTAGGATTTGGAAGGATGTTGGCCTCTTCGGGGCGTCCTAGACTAAAGAACTGAAGTGTTCAATCTCGCGCGCCACTATCGTGCGAGGAGCCTTCGGTGAGGTGGGCGACCCCGGGGCCCACCACCGGCGAGCCACCGCCGGTCGATCATCTCAGAACCACATCTGGGGTCCCTGGCCAAGGCTGGGCGTCGCGGACTTCCACGTGGGGCGTCACTCTGCTGGACCCCCCAGCAGCCGCTGAAGGTGGCGACGTTTGGCAGATTTCGGAAACCCTGCACCTGAAAAGGCTCTCATCTCTTGGGGGGTCGGATTTTGCTTCCGCTGGCGTGCGCCGGCCTTCCGCGGAGGAAGGGATGGCAACTCCTTCGGCCCTCGAAGGCGAGGCCCTTTTGGGAACGCCCTTGCTGCGCAGATCGCAGCCCTCCCGTGCATCCTTGAATCGCAGATGGCACCCGTGAGCAAAGAGGACTTGCATAGTGCTCTTGTCGGTTCGGCCAATGCGGGGTCGAAGTGACCTCTGATTCTAGGTCATGTGTTCACTCTCACTCGCGCGTGTGGAAGGTCACCTTGTTGTTTGACAGAATGGACAGGATGCTAGATATATCATCCTTCATGTCGGCAATGACGGCGTCGTTGTCCTCGGCCTTCTCGAAACCACTGCTCGACCGTATGAATGCGAGGATTGCGGCCGTCATCAATAGCACCCTGACGCAAACGGTCTGCAATAATTCCTTATTGACGACAACCCCTTGGCCGACATGGATGGCCAATCCGTGTCCATTGTTTGCGCGTTCGAGCATCACTTCCACCGCCTGCACCTGCGCGTGCAGCTCAGGTGCATCGCTGCGAACCTTGCCGAGGCACTCGCACACTCCACCGAGAGCTGCCGAAATGCGAAGAGGTGCCACAGCAATGGCGCATGCTACAATCACACATTCAACTAGCCAATAACCAACGAGGCTGCTCTGCAACCGTGGGAAATCCGGAGGATTCAGGATGATCAACAAGTAATGATACGCACACATTCCAGTGATCAGCATGTTCACCGCGAAATACGGCACTGGCCATCGCCTGGACGTCCATTCCCTGTGCTTTTTTTCCGGTGTCGTGAGTGTTTTTTTCGCCAAATGATCAAGGATGCTCCTCGACGGTCCTCGCCGAGGGGAAAAATGCACACAGCCGAGCGATGCCAAAGGCAATGGGAAAAACCCAGTGGAGCCAGCTGTGGCCCCGTGTCGTGCACCAGCCCTGCGCACGGCGCATTGGACCTCCTCGAAGGAGTGAGCGGCCTTGCACGATGGCGCGGCCTTCACCTTCGGGATGCGATGCTCAACACCGCCCACTGGCCATCGCTCGGACGTCCATTCCCTGTGTTTTTTTGGCGGTTCCGTGAGTGTTTTTTTCTCCAAGCGGTCAAGGATGCTCCTCGATGGTCCTCGCCGAAGGAACAATGCACACGTCCGAGCGATGCCAGGCGCCCAATGCGCGGGTGGTCGCGGTCACAACTTCCAAAAGGAGCAGGCTCAGGACTGTCCGAGCAAACTGGAAAGTGGTTCCAGACCGCAATTCTTCGTCTTGAAAATCCTCGGGCTGCACGGCGAGAGAACGTCGCCACGCGAAATGCTCGCAACATTAATGCAACAATAATCGCCAACTGCGTAAATTCGTTCTCAGACCACGGCAACATCGGGCAATTGGCTCGCCAACAATGGAGAGGCTAGAACAACCGCGAAACAATGGAGGATACCGAAACAAAAGATCACGCGGCTTACCCAGAACAAGGCCATACCAACATCGCGTTGCAAGAACAGTTGCAGCGCCACCGCACACCCAAAAGCTCCCACTGAGATCATACGTAGCGGGTCGGGAAGCCAAGCATCTCGCGAGGAGGTCCTCTGCCCAATCGAAACCCATGTGCTAATGCGAGCGATATTACGGTACCATGCCGAAAATGAGAAGATCTCCCTCCAGGGCAGCGGGAACCGCCAGACATTCGGGCACTTTCATAATACAGGTCACCATTCTACTGGGGGAAGCCACCGTGAGTATATATGGCACAATTCCGCTCTCCAATCGCAGCATTTCCGCCATCTTGAAAGATTCGTCGTTCGTAACGACAATGCGTTCTCCTGCTTTGAGGCCGACGCTGTCCGCAATTGGGTCGGGCTCGACGCTATCTACGACCCTTTCCATCGTGACGCCTAGGCTACCGCATCGAATGTTGACATCACGGCGTTTCCAAGCGAAGAAGGTGAAATCGTCCCTGCCAAGTGGGGCTACTTCGGGATTGGGGGCCCCGCCGCAGTGGCTTCATTGTCGCTGCTACTGCCATCGCCGGCGCTGTTAAGCTTCTTTCATATCGTTCTTCATGAAACGATTCGCTGGGCGCCCAGGCGGCGGGGAGCTTGCCCTCGAGGTCGAAGCCGACGTCCCGGAAGGCAGCCAACGGCAGCGCCATGGCGAATATCCAGCAAACTTCATCGACTCATCCCCGGTGGCGCAAAAGAAGTACGCAGCGCCGAGGCACCTCAAGCTGCCATGAGACCTGCCAGGGAAGAGGGATGACACTGAGCCTGCACGCCTTGAGTAAAAATGGCTTGGGCCCCCCAGGGACGGCAAGGTCATCTGAGGCGGAGCGTCACGCCGCTGGACCCACCAACTGCCTTCAAAAACTGCGACGGCTTTGCAATCTGAAGCCCCCCCAAGGATGGCGAGTTCGAGTCAGAATCCGGCCCTGGCCCCAATCCCCGCTGGCCCTGGCTCCCGCCCCGCCGGCCCCGGCCCCAGACCCAGTCCCGGCCTCGGCACTGGCCCTGGCCCCGGCCCGGCCCCGGCCCCGGCCCCGGCCCCGGCCCCGGCCCAGCCCCAGCCTCGGCCCCAGTCCAAGCCTCGGCCCCGGCCCTGGCCCCAGCCCTGGCCCTGGCTCCCGGCCCGCTCTGGCCCCGTCCCTGGCCCAAGTCCTGGCGCCCTGCAAATCTGAGTACACCTCCATGGCCTCCCAGATGGCCAAGATGCCGAACTCAGCTTCAAAACGGCGAACGAAGCCTGAAGTCGCTCCAGGAGGGCTCCAAGACGCCCTGAATGGTCCTGATAGACAACCAGCGTCGTCGTCAACATCGTCAACACCCTCGCCATTATCTCCTTCCTTCCCCTGCTCATGATCGCCACGCTCTACTCGCCCCTGCCCTTCCTTCGCGCCCCCCCCGCGACCCTGCTCGCCTCACTCTCCTCCTATTCATTCCCCCCTGTGCTCCTACTCCTCCTCACCTACCTCTTCCTCCTGTCCCCCTCCTCATATTCTTCCCCATGCTCCGCGCCCTCCTCCCCAACCTCCGGGTCGGCGGCACCGGCCGTAAGGAAAACAAGACCGCGACCCAACTTCAGATAACATGAGAAAACGAGACAACGAACCAGGGCTGGACAAAAACGAAACAGCAATCCAAGGGCAGAGGAAACGAGAAAACTATAAAACGGCTGCGAAAAACGTCACTCCGTATGACCCCCAGCAGCCCTCGACAGTGGCGACGGTCTCGCAATTCGCAGCACGCCAGGGATGGTGAGGTCTACTCTGAGTCCGCGTCGGACGTCACTCTGTTAGACCCCCCACCAGCCCTCGAACGTGGCGACCGTTTCGCAGGTCCAATGCCCCAGGGATGGTGAGGTCTACTCTGAATCTGCGTAAGACGTCACTCCGCTGGACCCCCAGCAGCCCTCGAACGTGGCGACAGCTTCGGAGTTCGCAGCCCCCTAGGGATGGCGAGGTCTAATTTGAATCCGCGTAAGACGTCACTCCGCTGGTCTCCCCAGCACCCCGGAAAGAAGTGGCAACAGTTTCGCAGATCGCAACGCGCCAGAGATGGTGAGGTCTACGCTGACTCTGTGTAAGACGTCCCTCCGCTGGACCCCCCAGCAACCCTTGAAAGCGGCGACAAATTCGCAGATCGCACACCCCGGAGGGATAACGAGGTCTAGTCTGAATCTGCGGCGGGGCGTCACTCCGCTAGACCCCCCAGCAATCCCCGAAGTGGCGACAGTTTCGCAGATCGCAGCTCCCCAAAGATGGCGAGGTCTAGTCTGAATCCGCGTCGGACGTCACTCCGTTAGACCCCCCAGCAGCACTCAAAAGTGGTGTCGGTTTCGCAGATCGTAGCCCCCAGGGATGGCGAGGTCAAATCTGATACACTGACGGGGCGCCACTCCGCTGGACCCCCCCGCAACCATCAAACATGGCGACAATTTCGCAGTCCGCAGCCCACAAAAGCGGCAGGGTCTAATATGAGTCTGCTGTTGGGCTCACTCCGATGAACCCCCCTGTAGCTCTCGAAAATGGCGGCAACTTCGGAGTTCGCAGCCCCCCAGGGATAGTGAGGTTTAATCTGAACCCGCATAAAACGTCACTCCGCTGGTCTCCCCAGCAGCCCTCGAGAAGTGGCGACAGCTTCGGTCGCAACCCCCCAAGGATGGTGAGGTCTACGCTGACTTCGCGTAAGACGTGCATCCGCTGGACTCCCCATCCACCCGCGAAAGCGGCGACAATTTCGCAGATCGCACACCCCCAAAGATGGTGGGGTCGAATCTGGGTCCGCGTAAGACGTCAGTCCGCTGGACCCCCAGCAGCCCTCGAAAATGTTTAACATTTAACAGTTAACACCTCCCTGGGATGTTGAAGTCTAATCAGGGTCCGCGTAAGACGTCACTCCGCTGGATCCCCCAGCACCCCTCGAAGGTGGCAACCAGTTTCGCACGTCGCAGCCCCCCCCCCAGGGATGTGGTGAGGTCACGTCGCACGGCGCGGTAAGAGGCACGGTGGTTGGCTGGCAGGCAGGACAGGAGAGGAGGAGGTGAGAGGCTGAAAGGGAAGAGAAGGAACACGGGAGGCGGGAGGCGGGATGAGATGCGCGCGCAGTGCTCTGTTCATCACCCTGTGACGTACACAACCCATGCATATCAATTGGCGAGAACAGTTGGGCCAAACTTGCCAGGGCGATGACCATGCAGGCGCCGCTGTGTGGTGTTTAAGCTACGTGGGATGCGCGCGCGTGGCACGATTCACACAACATACTGCTGGAAGGACAAAGGGGCGAGGGCCCGGGCTCGAAGAGGACACGGGGGTGGGAACGACGAGCAGGAGACGTACGCGCGGGGGGCCGAACAGTCAGCGCGGCGGCGGCAGAGAGAAGGCGACACGGGGGAGGTGGACTATAGGGTGCCACAAGCGAACCCTATTCCTGCCCCCCACGATTTCCGAGGGGGAGGGTGGGGTTCACTTCGCTCGTGACCTCCCGAATGAAGTGAACCCCACCCTCCCCATCAAGCTCGTGGGGGGTGGGGGTAGGGTTCGCATGTGGCCCCCTAGACGACGACAAAAGCGACGGGAGGCGACAGGAGAGTGCTGCTTGTGTCGGTCGTATGCGGAAGGGGCAGCGTTGCCTGCGCCGTGCCGCCGCGGCGCTCGGAAGGAGCAGACGTGCCTATGGCCAGTGCAAGAGGCGAGCGAGGCCCAGCTCGCCCGCTCGCTTCTCTGCTGCCGTCCTGCCCTTTCCAATGCTGGAGCGAAACGCTCGAAAGCGTGCCGCCAAGTCTGCGAGCGGCCCGCGGGCAAGGACATCCAGCCCGGGAACGCGTAGCATCGGGGAATTGCCCAGGCTAAGAACAGGGTCCAGGCTGGCGGCCCGCGTGAGGCGTCCCTCCGCTGCACCCCCAACAGCCCCCGAAAGTGGCGACAGTGTCGCAGGTCGCAGTTCCCAAAGGACCCAGGGATGGCGAAGTCTCCCCGTGGTCCGCGTAAGGCGTCACTCCGCTGGACCCCCCAGCAGGCCTCGAAAGTGGCGACAGTCTCGCAGATATCCCAAGGGCCCTCCTCCTGCCTCGGGCCAGCGGCCTCTGGCCCCGACCCCTTTTGGGAGGGGGCCCGGGCCGGGGGAGAGCCGACACGCCTTGGGGCTGGGGCGCCTCTTCGGCAGACGCATCAGACCAGCCCGCCCGGATCTACGAGGTTGTCCCTCCCGCCTCGGGCCGACGGCCTCTGGCCCCGACCCTCTGGGGGACCCGAGCCAGGCGAGAGCCGAAAGACCTTGTGGTTAAGTCGGGCGCGTCCCACTACAGGGGGATTTCCGACGAGGAGTAAACACACAATCCAAAACATACTCCAGGATGGTCAACAATTATACTCGAAAACACTGCCAAGACTATTTTGTTTTACCATTTTTGCATATTCCCCGTGTAGAGGGACAGGCCCGACTTAACCTTAGAGGTAGGGCGCCTCTTCGGCAGACGCACCAGACCAGACCGCCCAGATCTGCGATCCTCGGGGATGGACAGACCTCCCTTTAGTAGAACGTGGTTTAGTGAAAACGACCTGAGGCCCAAACCTGGCGGGCGCAAGCCTGGAAAATAACGGCCGCGGCGCCCTCTCGAGAGCCGAAAACGGACAATTCACTAATCGACGTGTCACTGTTGGGGTTCTGTCCGCCCCCGATATCCCTCCTGCGAAGACGGGGGCACAGGTGAGGCCACGTCCCCATCGTGTTACCAGGGTCAGGGTGTCGTCTGCTCTCGAGGACCCAATCGGGCTAGGCGAACGGGGGGATAGCAAAGGGGGGCCTGAGAATCGGCTCACGTGGCTGATTTTCCCGGCGCCTCCCGGCGCCGGGAGGCGCCCATGTATCGAGGAATGGGCCCCTCGGTGGGGCCGAAACCAGTTGCATGCAGCAAATTTCGTACCCCCCCCTTTCCCTCGGGGATCTTCTGACCCGGATCAATCCAGACCCGGGTCAGCAAGAAAACAAAAAACTGCAATGCAGGAAAAACAACTGCAACGCAGGTCCTCGCAAACCCGGGTCAGCCAATGCGCGGCCGCCCTCGCGGCCACGAGCGGCTCGCTAACCCGGGTCAGCCAAAGTGGGGTCTTCGCAGGATCCTGCAGGATCCGGTGCCCTGGCTGACCCCCGTTTGCGTTGACACCCGTCTCAAGGCTCCCGATTCCCAATCCCCCCCTTTCGTCCGGCCCGATAGCGGCACAAGCACATGCCGTGAGCCGTGATGACGGCCCCCGTGCTGACCGCTCCGGCCGGGTTCTCCCTCGACGGGCGAGCGCGCTGGCGCGAGCGGCCCCCTCCCTCTGCCATCTTCGAGAGTGGGCGGGAGGAGGAGGAGGAGGAGGAGGAGGAGGAGGAGGAGGAGGAGGAGAGGAGGAGGAGGAGGAGGAGGAGGAGGAGGAGGAGGAGGAGGAGGAGGAGGAGGAGGGGGAGGAAGAGGGGGGAGGGGAGGAGGAGGAGGAGGAGGAGGAGGAGGAGGAGGAGGGAGGAGGAGGAGGAGGTGAGGAGGAGGAGGAGGAGCAGGAGGAGGAGGAGGAAGATGAGGAGGATCTCTGAGAGCGGGCGGCTCTGGAGGATGTCTCGAGCGCCACGGCCTCCTCAGAGCGTTCCAGAACGCCTTGAGAGCGTTCCGGAACGCGCTGGATCGGACTTATCCTCGCGCTGGAACGAGAAACCTGGCGCGCTCCAAGGGCGCTCAACGGCCTTGGGGCGTCCTGCAGATGTCCTACCAAGGCTCGCCGAGGAGCTCGAGCCACTCACAGCCTCCTCGAGATCGGCGGCGCATC